ATCAAGAATCTCTTTTATTAAAAGAGAGGTATGGCACCAGATTTAGTCGATAAACAATTTGTTGTTGTTTTACCTATACATATATGAAAGTTGATTTAAAACCTCGAGCTGGTCCTGCATGTAAAAATATGTATATTCTCATAATTATTAAAATGTTAAAGATTGAAAAATAAAATCATAAGGAAAGAATATGATATAATAGCTCATCTTGGTGTTTAATTCTGATTTCTTCCCCTGTCAATTTTTTTTAGTTTGATACGATGGTTAGACATTTGATCAATTCTCTGAAGATCTTTCGTTTGATCCTCACCAAAGCCAAATACCTTTTTCTTAATTTATTACTAATAAGATGATCAGATGTGTCATCATATTATTGAAGGGGATTAATATATTAAGGAAAATAACATGTAGTCACTAGTCATGTCACATTAGCTTCTTTTAATGATAACCGTCGAAATGAAAACAAATTCAAAGTTTGATGATTTCAATACAAGTTTTAAAAGCTTGGTGACTAAAATGCAAAGACTCTAAAAATTTAAGTACTACAAGTGCAGTTTACCCTAAAATGTTATGTTAGAAGAGTCAAATATATGATTTTAAATCATTAAGGATTACATTTTTCTTAAATTCTCTCGCTCTCTTTCTATTTTTTTTCCAACTTTTCCTCCAATAGCTTATATATACGTTTCCTCCAATAGATTGTAAGATATAAATTGAGTGTTAAGTTTAATGTAATGATTTTTTCGGTTATGCGTTCAATCAAAACCTCTCGTATTCTCAGGATGACATAGTTGTGAAATGTCTAAGATTTTATATGTCTACCTTCTAACGAGTCCAATGAAACGCCTCATAGAGAATAACATAATCTAAAGATTGTGTAAAGCATAAAATACTTATCATGACTTATTTTACAATGTCAATATATCATGCAATGATCTGACTAAAGATTTAATGATAGTAAAATACTTGATTGCAAACTTGATAATATTTTAAAATTTTATTTAATGAAAAATATGGAAGTAAGAGAGTAATGTAGCATGATTGGTGTAATCGATGATGAGGCGTGAGATTGAAATTGGTATCTATGAAACACCACAATTCCTTCTTAAGGGGTGGTGCTTGAGTTCAATCACCTTGGACATTATTCTTTTTTCCCTTTTTGATAAATATTAAATGAATATAAGGTAATATCTATTTAAAGATTTTAATGAATATTTATGTTTTTGTATACGGAAGGTAGGAGGGACTAGTGGGGCCATGGCCCCCTAAAATATTTAAAAAAATAATATATATAGATATATATTAAATTAGAATAAATTATATATTTAGTACTTAAATTATTATTTTTATTCCGTTTTGATATCCAAACTTTATTGTTTTTCATAATCATACCTAACGTTTAGTTTAAGATTCAATTTGGCACCTCACAATTAAAAACTTAACGATGATGTTAATGTGTCACCATAAGATAATGACACATCATCATTGATTTGTTTTTAAAATGTCACATCAGCAATTCTATTTTTCAACAGCGGGATACCAAATTGAAACTTAAACTAAATGTTAGATATAGTTTTAAAAATAAATAAAATTTTGACACCAAAATTGAACAAAAGTAATAATTTAGGTGCTAAATGTGTAGTTTACCCTATTAAATTATTAAGTTTGATAAAAAAAAAACTTTTATAATAAGTTTTTAATTTTGATTATCCAAAAAAAATGTATATACTACTTTAGAATTTGAAAATCACTTAAATATCATTCATTGAAAAAAAGATAATATCTATATTTTTCTATTATTATTATTGTATTTTGAAATGAATAAAAATCCATTTTCCTTTGTCATTTTTTATTTTAAGATGTAATTTTTTATATTTTCTTTTGTTTGGTTGTTCGACTTATTTGAGTTATACATCTTCTTTGAATTGAGTATTTCAGTCAAGTTATCAAGTATTAAACTTTTAATTTTATTTCAGCTGATGATAATTTTAAAAATATTTTTTAATTCAATTTATATTTATGCTTTTATTTCAAATAAATTGATATCTATTATGTGGGTATATAAATTTTTATCTCCAAAAATAAAAATTTACACACAACTGTAAATAATGTTATTAACGGTGTATTCTGTTTCTTTGAATTTTTACGTAAATAGATAAATTTGAAGGATTTATAAAATTTTATTCTATTAATATGATATTTTAACATATAATTTATATTAACAAAAATATTAAAATACTTTAATTAATATATACAAATAAAATTAAATGACCCCTCAAAAAATAATATCGTGTTCCGTCACTGCTTGTATATGTGATGCTCGAACCTAAGATCTCAAAAGATAATAACAAATCTTTTAACTACTTGATTAGTTTGTGCCACCTTCAACGTTACTTTGCTTTCTTATTCCTTTACTTGTGTTATCAAATTCTACAACTTTCATAAGTGATGGATCCAAAAATATTTTAAAGGTAGACTCATATGTATTAATAATATTTTTTTTGTATGGAACTAACACAAATAAAATTTTAGGATAGATACCTTTAATAAAATTAACAACGAACATTTTAAGATAAACATGTATTCACCCTGGTTAATCCCTACATCAGCCACTGACCTTCGTCAACTTTACAATCAAGTCATCAACATTGTCAAATTCGAGGTTTGTTCCTAATCCCTCGATCCATCCTTGTTCCTAGTATCTTTTAACTCACTAAGGTTTGTTGTAATCTTAAAGCTTATATCATAAAAAAAAATATAAAGTCTATTATTTTTTTCATTTAAATACTTCAAGTATTTTTTTGGTAAAGTACTTAAAGTTATATTTTTAGTCAAAATATATATATTGAGTATTTTTTTTTGGATAAAATAGGTACTTAAAATATTCAATTTTATTTATCCAAATTTTAAAAAAAGTTAATATGTGGCGTTAATTAAGTAACATTTTAGGTAGATGAATTTTTTTAATACTTTAGGTACTTATTTTGACAAAAAATAATTTTAAATATTTATTTTGATAAAAATACTTTAAATACTTAAATGAAAAATTATATACTTTAATTACTATTTTGTTATATAAGCCTAATCTTAATTCTCCAAAACCAAGATTTCTCCTCTGTATTTTATTATCACATATAAAGTTGATATATATATTGAGAGAAACTCAACAACGAAATGACATTAATGTGAGAATAGAGCATATAACATATTGTTAATGTGGAGCCCATTGGATTTAATCATGACTATTTGACATTGAATGGGTCATTAATAATGATTAATAATCATAAAAAAAAGTTAAGTTATTAAACTACTCATTTTTATTCTTCTATATTTTATGAAGTCGTAGATTTTAAAATTATTAAGAAGACATTCCTTTCTTTTCTTAGAGTTTCTCTTTTGTTTTCCTTTAAATAAGATTAAAATTAAATTAAATTTTTAAAAAACTGTAGAAGATGACCCTATCCGAACAACAAGAGGCATACAATGAGAGGGAGACACGAACATAATATGGAACCAAACAAAAAGGTTGATCATATGTTTCTATCTTAACCCTTTTGTACTTATTTCTAAATTAAAGAGGTATATTATTGCATGGGGATACGGGAGTGGGGAGGACAGAGAGAATGATTAGGGTAATTATTCTTTAAAAATTTTAAATTATTATTTTATATTTTTTAATAATATATTTTTATCTTAAAAAATTATATAAATTCACCTTCTCTTAAAATTTTAAAAAATTCATCCTAGAATAAAATTTTATGTCCATATATTGGAGTAGCAATGCAGGGAGACCAACAACAACAAAACCCTGGGATCCTTTCTTGACTATATTTTGGGTGACAAAATCTCCAACTAATACACTGGATTTATGACCATATTTGTCTTAATTGTTGACCACCATCACCCTCTAAATCGAGCCAAAAAATTACAAAAATAGGATGATCTAAAATCCATTGTCCCTACTCTCTACAACAAAATTAATCCCCATGTTAAAAAACAGGTAAAAAGGTCATTGCTCACATCCAAAAAGGCTAACATAGATTCTGACATTTATTCGTGGGTTGGTAATGTATTCCATAATTTCAACAGTACCTATTCATTAAATGCCGACGAAAAGAAGCACCATCCATTGTGGAATGTACCATGCATGCATTCCATATTTTATTTATTCTTTTAAGTTTAGCATGAAAAATTAAATTTAGATTTATTTATACATTTTTTACAGAAAAAACAACGTAAATTTTGAATATATGAAGTATATGCAGAGATTCTGATATTTAATTTGGAGTAGAATATTTGGAAGTCTTAACTAAGAACCTATTAGTGCATTATTATGGATGGTTAATGGTTCATAACCTAAACCATAAATATATGCTGTGTGAAAGAAATAATGAATGGGCGGCCTCACCTGCGCAGCGCCATTCTTTTTCCACCAACTTGCGACTATTCAGGTTAATTTAAACAAAAAAGAAAGCAAGCTTTTGACCAGATCAAATGCTTGAAGGCCACATCAACTTACTATTGTTATTATTATTCTCTCTTTTTAAAATCTGGGTGGATAGGAGTTGAAACTGATAGGAATGCGTGAAAGTTCGTCAGCTCTAAAATCTATCCAAACCCACTCTGTATATTAGCTTTTAAAGCACTTTGCATCTCCTGTTTTATCTTAAAACCAATTGATGAAATCATTATTTTTCAATTAATTTATACGCGAGGGAACCACTTTTGAGGTGTAACATGTCAATAAAATTCAACTAATTTCTTAATAAGCATGTAATTATGAATGAAACATTGGCACATGAAGAGCTAAACCTCTAATCCGTAATTGCAGAAGAACCACCTCGGAATGTTCATTCAGCTGTCAAAGTTTTCAAATGCCCTCCCAAGTAGCCCACATATCAACCGATAAGAGTTCATTTTCGACATGAAAAACCTGGGGACGTTTCACCAAAATCACCATCTTCACTTTCCCTCACGTATCCACCATCTCCCCAACACCCGTCTTTCTGTTTTGTAGCATTTATTTTGTAACTTGCGAATTTACTCACTAGCAAATCGTATCGTATGCATCAAGCCGGTATATAACCCTCACTCTTCTTCAAAGTCCATTAGAAAATCAGTCAGGTTCTCAGAATCATCGACAGACTCTTCCAAGGACATTGGATCCTCCTTTTTCGGCTTAGCCTGCACAGTTAAGGAAGAATGCATCAGGAACTTACAATGTTGCTTGAAACAGACTGTAAGAGAACAATCATGCTAGAAAATTACTCAAAAAAAAGTAAGTCATGCTAGAAAACCTCCCAGTCAAACAAAAGAATGACAATGAACCTTTGACTTTCGAAGCTGAGGTGTAGATTTCAGAACACTCCAATTGCGAGTTATTTTCTCTTCTCCTTCACCACCACCTTCACCGTCATCTTCTTCATCATCCTAAAAGTCAAAACTACAGCATGAAGCAACTAGTTCCAAGTATGAATAAGTTAATTACACACACACACACACACACACACAGAGAAATATATATTTATAAAGGATGAAAGCAAAAGCAGGGAAGACAATTAAACTCACTTCATTTTCACCAATATCAACAGCTCGAGCCATAGCATCATCAATATCTGTCATCTGCAGTAATTACAAGTTATCAATAACTAGTTGAAATCACTTCTAGTGATGATTCATTTGCTTTAACAGTCTTCTTATGCACCATGAATCCAGTTAAAATATGAAATCTAACTCAACCAATAACAAAGTAATGTAACATTAGATAGTTTTGGCTACCAATAAATAATGCAGCATAGATAATTGAAATGGCATAACTGGATTTTATTGTTCATTCCATTCAGAAAAGGTTAGTGCATGATGTTTATACTCATTTATTAATTACCTCAAGTTCTTCAGTCTTCTCCTTTGCCAAAATTTTCTCAAGATCCTCCCTCGATATGATTTTGCCATGCTGATCAAAGGAAGGAAAAGTAAGCACTTGACAGAGGCACTAATAAATAGGGAACAAAACTGAAGCACGTGACTATTGCTTTAGGGAATAACAAATAGGAAAAGTAAATTTCAAGTAAAGAAAAATACGCACCCCAGAAAAGAGAAAAGAACACAAGCTTTAGGCAAAAAGAAGCCTCAATATCTAACCAAGTCGGTCTTGTGCTTGAATCCTTTTAGGCTCAAAAAACAAGATAGGATAAACCTTTTTAGGAGATAAAAGGTTAAAAAATTGTTTAGTTAAACTTTACTTTTGTAATTCTCAGTAATCAATTTGAACAGAACTTTTGTTCTCTATTCATTCAAATCCTCACTTTCTTTTTTCTTAGAATATTTATACAAGAAAGTAAAGAAGTCTAAATTAAGAGAAAGTATATAAGAAAAAACTTAGTTACAAGAACCTTAGGCTAGTGGTTTGAAGTACTACTAATGGCAACAAGACCCCAACTATCTGCCCTACATAACTCCAATTAGAACTACAGCTTATGAAGCTACATGGGCCTATTTAATTATTGAAACTGAATTACAAAAATTATTCTGCATTTTAACGGATTTACCAATCATAAAATAAATGGAACATTTTAAGTAACTAGAACAAAATCTGCTTATTCAATTTGAGGGAAGGAGTAAAATAATAGATTTAAACTTAGAATATCAACCTCCTTTAGATGGGCCAGCATATTTGGTGTTGGTTCATGAAAATCTGGTCCCCTATAATCAATCACTTCATCTGGATCTTGAATGTAGTTCACGGTTGGGTAAACGGGATCTCCACCCCAAACTGCAAAGACCAACAAATTCGTTAAAATGCATGAATCAAATATAAACCAAGAGTATGGGAACGGAATTTTGCTCCGTGCCAGTGATTCTCTCTTAATAGTTTAGCAGGCCGAAGGAGAAAATAGGAAGGCAGATCACTAGATCAATATCATTACAACTACCTACGAAAGTGAAAATTGTTTGTGGTTAAACTTTAGAAGTTGCACTCCAAAATATCATGCCTATATGTTGCAATCTTGCAATCTTATCTTTCGGATTAATGATTCAGCTCGTCAAAGAGAGGCTGAAACCTTAGTACTTCTTGAAAGAGAGACCAAAATCTTTTACGGTTTCTTAAAAATTCTGATTTCAATTTTAGTTATGCAAATCAGCCTCTTTAAATAGAGGTTATATACCTTGTTTGAATAAAAGACTTACTAAGCAAGCAATCCTACTTTTATACTCAACCAGGTGCTGATTTCCGCAGGCTAAAAGCTGAACAAGAAAGACTAGAAAGAATTGGTCCAATGGCATACTACTCTGAATGGGCGAAAGCATGGAAAAGAGACACTTCACGTGAAGCTATTCAGAAACATTTTGAAGAGACTGGTGAAGATGAAAACGCTCAACTGATTGAAATGTTCTCTCATCAAACAGATCGAGAATATCGGATTATGATGGGCACTGATAACCGTATCCCAAGGGATCCTCTAGCAATGCGAATGCGAGAAGATCAAAAAAAGCAAAGTATGTACCTTGTACTGTTAAGTTTTTCTTAATGGCTATATTTTTTTTTTCTCAGGCAGATTATATTAGTGTTATATACTTTCTCAAATACTGGCAGCTCTGTTGCCTGTAAATTTCTACTTCCTTGGTTGCATATTGATGGATATTAGTATAAAATTTGGTATTTGACCCATGCTTTATCATTCTTACAGTCTTAGAATAGAAGATGAAATTTTCTTTTGTGTTTTTTTCTTGCACTCTGATCTTGGATTGCATTTGTATATGAAGCTGGATTTTTTAAATTCATGCTTCTTCACCTCTACATGTAGTTTTATGGTTGAGTGTCAATTATTTGGCCTTATTAGGAATCGGTTTATTAACGAAAGGTCTTCTTCCTTTTCATTACATGTCGAATAGGCCTAATGATAGCCATATCACGATGATTAAGTTTCAGAGTTGAGAGCTTGTTGAGGTTCGATGCAAGATGAAGATGAAGGCGATGCCTCATAGTGGATTTCAAGGCCTTCTTGATACGTTGCCAAGTTAAATTAAGCTTCAATCTCCATACCCTTTTGGTCCTTGCCTTTTCTGTTTCCCGCCTCTTGACATTTCTCATCGGTGACAATTGCATTTTCTCCATGGAAGGGGCGATATTCATGCAGAGAGTCTAAAAAAAGCGTTACAAACAAGTGAAACAGAATGTATCGGTGACAACGGGAACAAGTGGCAAGAATCGAAGAAGAAGAAGAAGAAAGGTGGATGAAAATGGATTTAGAGAAAATGTATGTTAGGTGCAAATCGAGAATGGCATGGGACTGGAAGGGTATATATATATATATATATATATATATATTGATTGTTAATCATAAAAGCAAGCTTTTTTCATGGTACATCGTCGGAATATCGTCGGAATAAACAGCGACACTTGGGCTTTCTAGGAACCTTCTGAGGTCTAAGTTGCCATCAGACATTGGCATCTCGATGGTCAATAATCAGACTTACATTTTCTTTTGTTCCTCATAAGTCGATTGGGGACTGAATTAAATAATAAAAAAAGGGCCATGTCCTTCCCATTTCTCGTAGAATTGGTAATCCTTAAGAGCGACATGTTTTTAGGTTTATTTTTGAACTAGACTTTGTATCGGGTGAAAATTTATTTTTTTCCTTAAAAAATAATATTTTGAAATGCAGGTAAATTAAAATTTTAAAATAAAAAATTAAGTCAATGATTATTTTTAGTGGTTATTTATTTATTAGTCTACGTAACATAATTTTTAAATAATATATGTTTATAACTTTTTAATCAATTAAAAATGCATACACTTCACAAACATAACTACTTAAATTCAGAACCTCTAAAAAATAATATTTTATTTACCGGGTCACTTGATAGGTTCAATGTAAAATAATTTAATAGTAAGTTTTTGTTTTTTTATTATAATGTGTAGTTTTATTTATAGTAAATTACATGAGTACCTTTATTTTTTTTGGATAAAAATAAAAGCAGCTAATTACTAAAAAAGAAAAAAATATTCAAAATTATAACAAGGGTTTACAACTATATTCATAAATTAAACACATGATTAAGATATTATTTTATAACTATTAACACAATAAACTAGTCACTTAAGATCGTATAATGACCATAAAAAGAACATGTGAAAAACCCATAAAAAAATCAAAAAATATGTAGATACGAATAGATCTGACTTCTACAAAAAAACCATAACAGAGGATTTAACTATTGAAAGATCACCGACAAACACAAACCAGAGTCAAAACATCGTGAGAAAACTACCTACAAGATATACAAATCCAATTCGAGAGTCTAAAACATGGAAGATCAATAAGATAATAAATGAACACCATCTTGATTATTCGTCAAATCTAACTATGAGAAAAATAAATGACAAGAACAATCAAACTATAATAAAAAACATGCAAAAAGGTATAGAAGAATGTGTCATAAAATTACAAATGCAGGATTAGAAATTAAAGAGAAAAAAAATAAAGAAATATCAACGACGACAATTAATATTTGATATCATCAATTCAATTTATTTTTTAGATTTTTTTTATTAATTAACGTCTGATTAGTTCACAACATTAACCCAATAAAAATATATTGCAATATAAATCTTAAAAAAGAATGTAACATGTTTTTTTCATTTATTAAATAATGAAATTCAAACGATAATTAAAAGTCTAAATGAAAAAAATAATGAAATTTATTTATTTTATCTTTTAGCTACTAAATGAATGAAAATACCCAAATGTTGAAGAGTAATGTATCTTTTGTTTAATAAAACACTACTAAAAGTATAACTCAAAAAGCAAATTATTTAAATTATAGTAAGAGTTTAACTAACATATATACATATAAAAGGGGTAATTTCGTATTTAATAAAACATTTTATTTATTTTATTAATTAAACATTTTTTAATATTCAGCGAACCATAGTATTATTAAAATGTCAACATGATAAACTATTTTTATCAATCAACTCATACTTTTATACGAATTATTATATTGTAAATACTTCACGTGTGTGTCATATTTTTGGGTTAACATCAGAGGTATGGTTGCTAACCCTTAATAAGATTAATTGGGTAGAGTCAGTATGTCGACAATGGCAGTTTAACTAACCTGATTTGCAAAATATTCTTCGTTGTGCGTTGGATTGGGTTGGATGGTTCGGTTTTAATTTTATGCTATAAAAAAAAGGTTCGACGTCCCTTTGTAATTGGTCATATTCAAGAATTCCGAATACGAGTTGTTGGGGGACCTCCTCTTTCTCAGCAGTCTCCACTGACCAACTTTATTTTTGCATTAGACTGTCTAAAGTTTAATTGGATTAAGTAATATGGTTTGATTGAAACAGTGTTTAATATTAGAAAATGGATAGGAAGTGACTTGCCTTGGGGCCCTGTCACCATCGTAGCCTCCGGGAGGAGATCGATGTTTTAGAATTTCTGTTTTCCTGTCGCTAACCATCATCATCTTAATCGAACAGCCACCTTTTTTTCGGCCGTCAATAGGGATAGACCAAGGAAACGGACAGAGTCATTTCATTTTTTTTTTGAAATTATTATATATTTTATATTAATAATCTGTTTTTATAATTTTATTAATTTATTTTTTCTAAAATTTTAAAAATTCACCTTTAACATAAAATAATATCCCTAACCGTCAACTTAGAATCTAATACTATCCATTATCGGTTACTTTTTAGATCATTTGAAGTTGACAGCTTCATCTTAGACTGGAGAACATTATTCCTATACTAAGCGGTCAAGCATTTAATATTTGAAGTTTGTCAAACTGGTCGTAATGATAACAGCAACCTCTGCTGCATACGGTGTCCCATACATTTAATTGTTTCAGAATTTCAATTTCACAGCCCCGGCATTGCATCGATCAATTGTTGTTGAAACTAGAGTTGGGAGCAGTTCCTTGGTGAACTAGGCATGAGATATTGTTGGTGAATGAGCCAAGTATCCCCCATTTCTGGTACCAGCTGGCCAAATAAAGGGCTGGTTTTAGACGAACAAGGCATTTGGGTTAAATCAAGAAGAGACCCTCAGGATATTCCCTCATCCATAGGAAAGCATCTGGTCATTCAAGTGTAGCAAAGGGGAAAATAAACATAGGTATACCACAAATGTAAAGCATTCTCGACTGAAATGAACGTCTCAAAACAAATGTTACATAAAAACACCTCTAGATGGTCTCTGGTAAGAAGATAAGCTACTCGACTTCCGCCAAATAATCATCTATTTCAGCTGGGGTTAGTACCCTGCAACGTAGCCTAAAAAAAAACAGTAATCAAGCCATCACGAAAGGAACAATGCAATAAGCAGAAACAAAGATTCTGAAATTTGGGAATAGGAAGTTGAAATGGACAACAAAAATGAGTGTCAAATGATTTAGTAAAAGGAGAAAAGAGGCGAAGAAATGCTTGCCTGAATATTTTGTCAGTTCCAATAATCCCAATTTCAATATTTTCCCCTGAGATTTGTCCTTCAAATCTGCATATTGAAACAACTGGACGTGAGATACGATAGACACAATAGCAAAGGCAACCCAAGATCAAACATTTTTGTGAGCTTCTTTTGTTACATATAGAAGATGAATCTTCCTCAACAGTGACATAAAGCTGGAGGAAACTTCGGCATGGACATTACCCCTCTTTGAGAGTCAAAATAGCAGTATGCACAGCATCATCAAGTTCCATATCATCAGTATATCTACAACGGTAAAAACAATCAACGGAAATTTCAGTCTTTAGTATAGACTCTTTACACAACAAAGAACTGGAAAGTAAGAAAAGGTCCAACTCAGTTCTGGAAAAGATGATGAATATTTATTTTATATAATCAAATGCTAAATAAATTGACATCCTAACATAGTCAATCTTAACAACTCATATAATTTTTTTAAAATATTTAGAGTCGAATTCTATAAGAACCAGATTCTAGGCAAATACCTCTTCTCAAGAAATGTTTTTGCATTTGAGACATTTTCCCCCATTGCCGAGGCTTTCCATGAGAATTAGGAACCAGATGGATCCACCTAGCAACAAGGAACAAAATCATAAAGATAAAAAGCACATAAACATTGTCTGCAATCTCTACTTGGTCACATAATAAACTATTACTATTAGAAATACCTGATACAATCGTGGACCCTTGTCATCATATCCGGAAAGCATTAGAGATACACCAAAAGGTCTAACACCACTAAAAAAAAAAAAAAAAGATACATCAAACTTACTATAAAAGACAGAGGATTGCACAATTTAGTATTTCCACTTTTTATCCAATTCAAATTGACCCAGACAATAGTAGCAATGCCTTTGATCTAAGGCATATTTAGGTTGATCGGACACCATCTTACCTGATCTGCTTTTACTAGAAATATATCAGATTCGAGAGTTGGTTGCAGTCAAGGAATGATTAGCACCCTTGAACTACCCTTTCGATACCATTTTAATTTGTCGGTTGTCTTAATTGTGAAAATTAAAATTAAAATTAAAATTTAAAGATTCGATTCGAATTACTTACTTCTGATCGATAAAAATTGCCTCTATAAAAAAAAGTGTCAAAACTGAAGTTAACTAAAAAGGTAATATGAGTGTTCGAATAAAACAAATAAAAATTAAATTAACTTAAATAAAATAACATTCAATTTAAAAGGGTTATACCGCGAAAAATTTAAAATTAAGGTACCAAATTGATATTATTTAAAAGCTACAAGAAATAATATAAAGTTAGGAGGGGTTAATTTGTAAAATATAAGAACTTTAAACAGGGATTAAATCAAAACAATTCAAAATTCAGGGGTAAAATTACAACAGGTGATTAAAATGAATTACATTTCAAACTTACAGGGACTGTGAAAATAATTTAAAAATCTTGTAATTACACATAGATCCCCCTTATAAATGCCCAAAACCGAAAAAAAATTAACATCTCTCTCATTTCTTCTCCCCCTCCAAAAGCCAAATGCTCTCTCCCTCACATTCTCTCGACCCAAATCGGCCACGATGGTCCGGCCGCCGCCTCCGGTGGTTGGAAAAAATCCAAACTCCCCAAAAATACACTTCCCGACCCCGTAATCACAAATCTAAGGTCTGATTATCCTAAAACGAGCCGAGTTGGTGTAGATCTAGATAAAAAAGTTTCAACTTTTACCTTTTTCGTCTCGTCTTCTCGGTTTCTCGATGATTACTGCTCCAATGATGCTCCCTTTATACTCTCACCATTGATATATGCCTATTTTGTTTATGTTTGAACTTTGCTTGTTGGTGTTTTCGGTGTTTTGGTTGTATGGCTGAATGGTTTTAGGATTTTTTGTGGTTTTATGCTTGGATATTGCTTGCTTGCTTTTGGATTTATGTCGTTTCTGTTGTTTTCGTGATGAATCTTGTCGTGTTCTTCGTTTGGCTTCGTCAGAGGCTTTTTATAGCCTCGGTTTTGGGTTATTTTTAGTCTCGATCGGGAGAGGATTCGTGGGTTACTTGCTCCGATTTTCCTGTGCGTTGTTGGTCGGGGTTTTAGGATGGTTCAGTCCCTAACCTCGACCAGTTACTTACTCCACGCACGCTCCCTTGCGACGACGTTAGCTTAAGATAAAACCCTAATTTTAGGATTCTAGGCTGAGTCAGGTCCACCTAATCCGGGTTTACTGGATCAGGCTTACCTGATTAGACTTTCTGCTGGACATTAATTGAACCTAAAATAAAAATAAAAATAAAAATGAATGAATAAATAAATAAATAGTAAAAAAATACTGAAAAATGTTCTCAAATCTTATACATTAAACTATATATTATATATAATTTCAAAAATGTTTTAAAATTATATATATTTTCAAAATGTTTTCAAAAACTATATATTATATATATTTTTTCAAAATGTTTCCAAAATTATATATTATATATTTCAAAACCCGTTTAAAAAAAACTATACACGTTTTCAAAAAATATGTTTTAAAAACATATAATATATATTTTCAAAAATTATGTTTGAAATATATATATATATATATATATATATATATATTATACTATATAATAATACAAAACCCTTAATGTCGAACGAAAATAGGTGTCTACAAATCTGTAACCCCCTCAGACCGATGCGGTTAACCTGATCCGATCTGGAGTGTCACATTAGGGCCACCGGAGCGACCCACTGTAAAAATAACGGAAAATTTAAAACTTTTATTAAAACATGTAAATTATAAAATGATTTATCAGTACGAAGAAATAACATAGATTTTCAGACTTGTATATAAAACAAAATACAATTACATGGCCCCTATTCACATGTAGCGTACTCTACAAGCAGCCCTAGAAGAACTCTCTTACTGAATTCGATAGATGCACTGGTACAATTCTTTTAACCTGCAATGGTGAGTAATAGAGTGAGCTTCGGAAAGCTCAGTAATACAGAACTACCAGATGATGCTACATGACATGCAGATAAATGGGAAGCCATAATTTCCTTATTGAATCAAACGTATACCAATTGCTGAATAATCTGGGGTTCCATTAGTAGTTCATCGAGTAGAAGCCATGAATCTCAGTTCATAAGAAACCTTTCATACAATCACATTTTCATGAGGTCGAATAGTATGTCTAGTGTGTTCCATCAGTACGATAAAATCATAATATGTACATTAATCAAATGATAGTTCAGTAAAATCCCATAAACCAAACTGTAGTGGAGCTTTTTAAACTCGTATTTTAAAACCATCTTACAAAGAGTTAACCTAAGGGAACATCTTAGGGCCTGAGAGCCTACCCAAGAAAGTTCAGGGGCATGGGGCCTACCTAAGAACACATCTTAGGGCCACGGGGCCTACCCGAGAATGATCTCAAGGCCGCAGAGCCTACCTAAGAGTCACATTAGGTCCATAAAAATTTTCCAGCTTGATCAGAGCTGTACTTTACAAATATGTATCTCCAAGATACAATTTATACCATGATACAAATCCATAAGCCATCACCATTTAGTCGGTGCATCCATAAAACAATAACCATAAATTTTAGTGTACCTCATGTTAAAACAATAAAACAATTTATTAAAATATAAGGAACACACTAGAGAAATCCTATTATTTATCAGAGGCATTTTGTAGTCATCAGTATGGATAACAAAAAACTTATGCAATTTGATCATATTCCATGAACGAGGTCCTATTGAAGAGAATCGGTTACCAATCGATCTAAACATACATTTAAGGTTAATACTTTAGAATTCCATTATGTTTTCATGTGCATCCAGAATAACAGGAGTGATTTGAGTCGAAAAAGAAGAAACAAATATTCAGGGCAATTATCATCCATGACAATCGATCGGATTATCGAACAACTAGAACTGAACAACTTTAATAACCGATGCCTGTCGATTGGTCAATTCATTGCCCTTCCTGGTATTCACTCTATAATACCAACAATTCTTGTCCATAAATCATCTTCAGAATCATCGCTAAATATACCTTAAGAAATCGAACAAACATCCTTATAATCTTTATTTTCTTTCCACAATACAACAATATCAAGAATTGGTGATGTGTTTGATTCTTAGATCATAACCGTAGGGATCGTACATCATACAAGTTTATTGTATTTCCACACTCATCCAATTACTTACTAAATTCTCCGCAATTAATGATATCCCGGTTACTTCAGAGTTTTTCAGAGTAATTCAGACACTTCTGAGTTTTGGATACATGTTGTACTTCCGTTCAGTTCACTTTGGTCATATACTAAAATCATTTTGGTATTCGTGATTGATTTATCTCACGAATATCCACTTCATAATATCGTATGCGCTCTAGTGTTGACCTGAGCTGAGTACTTCCATAATTATTATCAATCCAAACTTGAGGAGACGAACTATCATTCAAGTGGTATCTATGCCATTCAAGTACTAATATAGCACTAGCATTGTTTGACCGGCTTAAATTGCGTTTCATAACATTAAAGAGCAGTACAACATCCATGTTTAATTGAATTTCTTAATTAATCCAAGACATTTACTTAGTATATACCATAAGGGTATTTTGGTTATTTTGGTGCTCAATGTTTTTTCCATTCCTTTCAAAGCTTGAGGATATCTATTCATTTTTGAACTTGGTGATATTCTTGAGTCATTCCATTACAAGGGTATTTTGGTCATTTTACAGATCCAGTGTATTTCAATCATTTCTTTCTATCTGATTTTATCATTTAATTCAAACATATCATCTTTTCCAGTCCTTTCAAATAATTCTGACAAAATAGCACCCTCGATAATTTATTCTTCAGGTATTTACTCATAACTAAGAGATTTCCAGGTTAAAAGTCTTTTCAGACATTACTAATGAATTGTTAGGAATTTCCCATACAAAAATATGATCTCAACCATTAAATCAGTAATTTATCGGTTTAAGAACAAATTCTCATGTTACTTTCTCATTCAGAGTCAACTTGGACTATTTTTACCTCTCAAGGGTATTTTCGTAATTTCTTAACCAGATAATTTCGGTATTAACTCTTAACGAAAATAATTATAATATAGAGATCCTATAGTCAATTGCTTTCCCGAACGTTCTCTGATCTTGAAACGATTCCATAACAGACTTCTAGTATCTTGCATAAACCCTCTTGGTGTTAAAAACCGGTTATCCGTAATTTCCAAGTAAAACTAACATTTCTTATGCAGATCAATAGATTTATCAGATCAAAATGTCTTTTTAGATTTATTAATCCACTTCCAGGGATAATTCTTATCATTTTCCAATATAAGGGTAATTTCATAATTTTACCTAATCGAAATATTCTCATAATTTCCCATCCAAGTACCTTTGACATTTAACCTTGGATGATATAAAATATAAGTTACAAATCCAGGGTTGATTTCTTTATCACTAATCGCAAACTTGTAATTTAATTCTAACAATTCCTCAATCTCTTATATTAGTCATTTGATCTGTATTCAGTTACAGAATTTCTACCACATTCATATCGAGTGAATAAATTATTCAACTCTATAAAAGTGACCAACATTATCTTATTCATGCATTTACCAATATCAACATGTTTCACAAAGCATAAAGAGGTAGTAAAGTGTTACCTCGATTTTTGTGCCATACTGATCGACCATTAATTTCCATTTGAACGCCCTCGATCTTGAAATCAACTTCCAATAATTTCTCAGATGCATATCAACAGAAATTACATAAAAACGGAGCTTAATTCCAAAAAACGGATCGAATCGGGTGATAAATCAGTCAAAAACAGCTTACCAAGTTCGAATTTGACGAAACAGACTTCGGATTCGGATTCAGGACGTCAACAAAACCCAAAATATGACTCTTAAATTTAATCTCACCAACTTGATTTCTAACTTCCATTCTTTTTCTCACGAACACGGATCATCCACCGTAAAAATACGACTTCAAATAATTTTTCTTTCCATAAAAATAAATTATTAGAATCTAATTAATAATTTGGGGACCCAATTGTTAAAACTAAAAACTTTAGGAGTAAATAAAATTTTTTAATTACTAAAATCAGGGCTAAAGCAAACTAATCTAAACTATCAAAGCTTGGTTGAAAATATACTAAAACTAGGTGACAAAGAATCTTACCGAAAATAGAGGACTGAAGCTATGATTAGCCCTTTCTTCATATCAACATTTTTAAACCTGCTCACTAAACCCATTTACATTTATTTATTATTTTTTCCATTACCAACTCTCAAACCTTGGTTGAGATAGCCAAATGATAAGCACTAAACCAGCTAGGACAAGGAGAAAGCCGATGAAGAGAATGGATTTGAGAAGTCTGGAGTAGATTACACCATGGTTGAAATCATAACCTTCAATTCTAGTACAAGCCCCTACAAGGGAATCCAAATCTTTAAAAACTGTAGAGTGTATAGAGTTTATAAGCTTATCCTCCATCAATTCCTCCTACTGTCTTTTGTTATTCACCGAGAAAAACTCTTTAAGCTGTTCAACAATGTCCTTCAATGATTTCTCCTCGTTTTTAAGCTTTGCTGGTTCTACTTCATCTTTAGCTATATCTACTTTAGTCACTTCAATTTCCCACTCTCTCAACGTAATCCCCTCCTTATAAGTACTGATTTTTTTTCGTCAGCCTATCTCTAGCCACTTTACCATCCTCCCAACACGTATTGAGGCACTTCACTTTACCATCAAACTCATCACACCCATCACAACAATAGCAGATGACATCATTAACTCTAGAGGAAAACAAGAATTGTGAAACATGTCCAACATTTTGACAGTAGAATTTTGCAGCCGACAAGCGGATGTTCCAGGTTCATCTGTGTCGTCAGGATAATTTCAGAAATCATCATTGAGTTGAGATTTGGAGAATTTTTCGGATCCGTATTTGCATTTAATGATATATGATGATGATTTGTAGTAATTCAAATCTTGAGGAGAAATTCCATGGAAATGGTGCTTAGGAGCAGAGGAAGATGATGATCTAAGAAATGAAGCTAAGAAAAATACAAGGAGAACGAAAATGGAATATGATTTCATCTTTCTTGTGCAAATAAAAAAAAACTCAATCAAAAGTTTTCACAAAGCCAGTCAGAGAAATATACTAGTCGTCTTCAACAGCTTCCAACTCCTCTGATTTAAAACCAAGTCATCCCAAAAATACCTTTCAAACATGTAGTTCTCCATTTTCCATATTATAAAAATAATAATAATTGTAGTGGTTGAACAACTCTTCCCACTTGTGTTTATTCATTTTCTATATTTTAAATTGAAGAAATATAACCCCATATTAGGATGTGATAATTCTCCCCTCCTTAAAAGGATTTCGTCCTCAAAATTCATTCATGTCACATAATTGCAGAAATGAAACTTCCATCAGTTCTTTCATATCTTCAAGTAGCTTTTATAGAAATACGGATTCTCCACTAATCCATAACCAGTTTAGCATACATTCTTATCAGAACTCTCCCTCATTCCAATAAAAGAATCACAACAAAAATTTCCTTTAGTAGTCAATTTAGTCTTGGTCATGAAAATAGGCTCATAGAACAGTAGCATATCCCAATTTCATTATTGGTGTCAGGTCAGAATTTCTCAGATGAGTAACTTTCACATGGCTCGTGAGGTACTTTACAGAATTTAAATGGACGTTATCGATATTCCTTTATGCAATGGTAGAGTCCTAACGGATAGAAAACTTAGATTTGCTCGTTATAAATAGGGACTCAATCTTGGAGTTCCGGCTCAGAGATGTAAGATTGTAGTCTAGGGGCATGTACTGATCAGACATCTTTTGACATTCGACCGGCCGGTCTATTTTGAAAATTTTGACTCAAACCAAAGCTTTGATACCACTAAATATAACCCCCTCAGACCGATGCGGTTAACCCGATCCAATCTGGAGTGTCACATTAGGGCCACCGGAGCGACCCACTATAAAAATAGCGAAAAATTTAAAACTTTTATTAAAACATGTAAATTATAAAATGATTTATCAGTACGAAGAAATAACACATATTTTCAGACTCGTATATAAAACAAAATACAATTACATGCCCCCTAATCACATGTAGCGTACTCTGTAAGCAACCCCGGAAGAACTCCCTTACTAAATTCGATAGATGCACTGTACAATTCTTTTAAACTGCAATGGTGAGTAATAGAGTGAGCTTCGGAAAGGTCATTAATACAGAACTACCAGATGATGCTACATGATATGCAGATAAATGGGAAGCCATAATTTCCTTACTGAATCAAACGCATAACAATTGCGAAATAATCTGGGGTTCCATTAGTAGTTCATCGAGTAGAAGCCATAAATCTCAGTTCATAAGAAACCTTTCATACAATCACATTTTCATGAGGTCGAATAGGATGTCTAGTGTGTTCCATCAATACGATAAAATCATAATAGGTACACTAATCAAATGATAGTTCAGTAAAATCCCATAAACCATACTGTAGTGGAGCTTTTTAAACTCGTATTTTAAAACCATCTTACAAAGAGTTAACCTAAGGGAACATCTTAGGGCCTGAGAGCCAACCCAAGAAAGTTTATGGCCACGGGGCCTACCTAAGAACACATCTTAGGGTCGCGGGGCCTACCTAAGAGTCACATTAGGTCCATAAAAATTTTCCAGCTTGATCAGAGCTGTATTTTACAAATATGTATCTCCAAGATACAATTTATACCGTGATACAAATCCATAAGCCATCACCATTTAGTCGGTGCATCCATAAAACAGTAACCATAAATTTCAGTGTACCTCATATTAAAATAATAAAACAATTTATTAAAATATAAGGAACACACTAGAGGAATCTCATTATTTATCAGAAGTATTTTGTAGTCATCAGTATGGATAACAGAAAACTTATACAATTTGATCATATTCCAGGAACGAGGTCCTATTGAAGAGAATCGGTTACCAATCGATCTAAACTGACATTTAAGGTTAATACTTTAGAATCCCATTATGTTTTCATGTGCATCCAGAATAACCAGAGTGATTTGAGTCGAAAAAGAAAAAATGAATATTAAGGGCAATTACCATCCATGACAATCGATCGGATTATCAAATAACTTGAGCTGAACAACTTTCAGAATTGATGTCTGTCGATTGGTCAATTCATTGCCCTTCCTGGTATTCACTCTATAATACCAACAATTCTTGTCCATAAATCATCTTCAGAATCATCGCTAAATATACCTTAAGGAATCGAACATGCATCCTTATAATCTTTATTTTCTTTCCACATTACAACAATATCAAGAATTGGTGACGTATTTGATTCTTATATCATAACCATAGGGATCGTACATCATACAAGTTTATTGTATTTCCAGACTTATCCAATTACTTACTAAATTCTCTGTCATTAAGATTCCTTGGTTCATTTAGCAGTTAATGATATCTCGGTTACTTCAGAGTTTTCCAGAGTAATTCAAACACTTCTGAGTTTTGGATACATGTTGTACTTCCGTTCAGTTCACTTTGGTTATATACTAAAATCATTTTGGTATTCGTGATTGATTTATCTCACGAATATCCACTTCTTAATATCGTATGTGCTCTAGCATTGAGCTGAGTTGAGTACTTCCATAATTATTATCAATCCAAACTTGAGGAGATAAACTATCATTCAAGTGGTATCTATGCCATTCAAGTACTAATATAGCACTAACATTGTTTGACCGGCTTAAATTACGTTTCATAACATTAAAGAGCAGTACAACATCCATGTTTAATTGAATTTCTTAATTAATCCAAGACATTTACTTAGTATAGACCATAAGGGCATTTTGGTTATTTTGGTGCTCAATATTTTTTTCATTCCTTTCAAAGCTTGAGGATCTCTATTCATTTCTAAACTTGGTGATATTCTTGAGTCATTCCATTACAAGGGTATTTTGGTCATTTTATAGATTCAGTGTATTTCAATCATTTCTTTCCATCTGATCTCATCATTTAATTCAAACGTGTCATCTTTTCCAGTCTTTTCAAACAATTCTGACAAAATTGCACCCTCAATAATTTATTCTTCAGGTATTTACTCATAACTCGAAGATTTCCAGGTTAAAAGTCTTTTCAGACATTACTAATGAATTTTTAGGAATTTTCCATACAAAAGTAGGATCTCAACCATTAAATCAGTAATTTATCAGTTTAAGAACAAATTCTCATGTTACTTTCTCATTCAGAGTCAACTTGGACTATTTTTACCTCTCAAGGGTATTTTCGTAATTTCTTAACCAGATAATTTCGGTATTAACTCTTAACAAAAATAATTATAATATAGAGATCCTATAGTCAATTGCTTTCCCGAACGTTCTCTGATCTTGAAATAATTCCTTAACAGACTTCTAGTATCTTGCATAAACCCACTTGGAGTTAAAAACCGGTTATCCATAAGTTCCAAGTGAAACGAACATTTCTTATGCACATCAATAGATTTATCAGATCAATATGTCTTTTCAGATTTATTAATCCACTTCCAGGGACAATTCTTGTCATTTTCAACATAATGTTAATTTCGTAATTTTACCTAATCGAAATATTCTCATAATTTCCCATCCGAGTACCTTTGACATTTAACCTTTGATGATATAAAATATAAGTTACAAATCCAGGGCTGATTTCTTTATTACTAATCAC